GTGTCTCTCCTCCTCCTCCTCCTCTCTCCTCACTCAGTGTCTCTCCTCCTCCTCCTCCTCCTCACTCAGTGTCTCTCCTCCTCCTCCTCCTCCTCCTCACTCAGTGTCTCTCCTCCTTCTCCTCCTCCTCCTCTCTCCTCACTCAGTGTCTCTCCTCCTCCTCCTCCTCCTCCTCCTCCTCCTCTCTCCTCACTCAGTGTCCCTCCTCCTCCTCCTCCTCTCTCCTCACTCGGTGTCTCTCCTCCGGGAGGAACCAAGATGGCAGTAGAGAGGGCGATGATGTACAAACTGTAAACAAATGAGATCTCTTTTCCACACCCCCCTTCAGGGTGACACAAGCGCTGTATTGGAGAGTATTTTTAGGGAAGTTGGACAGAGGAAGTCTCGACCACAGAACTAAACGGTTTTGGTCCGAGGCTGCCACGATGTGACTGCAGACGCCCACAATAAAACCTGAAACTATGAAAATGAAAGTTTTTATTAAAAAGGTTTTTTTTTATAAAACTTAAACAATTAACGACACACTGGCCATCGATGCAGTGATGAAGAGGAGAGCTGGACCGATGCTGATCATTATTTCTCTACTAATGGACGCAGCCTCAGGTAGGCTTTATAGACTGTTACTAACTGTATTATATATAAACCTACAATAATATATTCTATATATTCTTTACTGTATCCGTTAGTTTATTAACGAGCTGCAGTGACAGTCAGTAAACAGCAAACAAACAAACAGTAAACATTGAGGAAGGGCGCTGGTCAACACTGTCATTTATCATCATCACAATCATTATCAGCTAAAGAGACACTAACTCTTCTTTTTATATGTTTACTTTACCAACATACTGCACTACTTAGGCATGGTCGAAGCGGTCAGCCGCCCAGGGCAGCAGGATTTTTCATGACACAAGGGGGCAGCACGAGCACTTAAAACAAAATCTCCTCTGCACCGCGAAGCAGTTTTCTATGATCTATCTGTTCTATCATATCACTGTGTGGGGAATTGGCGACCCCTACAACTGCAAGCTGAGAAGGTGCCGTGCACTGAAGCTGTGTGAGAAAGGGAAGGAGGGAGGGGGACAGTTCACCTCTGGGTCTCCCTAATGGAACGGACAAGGGAGGGAATAACACCTCGACTTTCTTCCAAATAATGCACATTTCATTCCTAATATCATAAATACAATCCTATAATACATATAATATATATATAATATAATAAATACAGGCCTATAATACATAATATATATATATATATAATAAATACAGGCCTATAATACATATAATATATATATAATATAATAAATACAGGCCTATAATACATAATATATATATATATAATAAATACAGGCCTATAATACATATAATATATATATGATATAATAAATACAGGCCTATCTTAAGTTGAGACTGTGGACGGAAGATATAGGTGATGAAATATTGCTACAAGACTGGAAAGGTATGAAAAGCTCAGAAACAAACAGTCAACAGCAACCTGAAACGTATTCAGTATAAGTGGCTGATGCGTAGGCTACATACATAACCCCATTCAAATTGCACAAGTTTAATGATAACATCCCTGATAGGCCTACATGTATTAAGTGCAATGAAGCAAGAGGAACGCTGTACCACTGTGTATGGGAATGTGTGAAAGTGAAATCCTTCTGGCAAGATATTATTAATTTGATTGATCAGATATTAGCTAAGAAGATACCACTGGACCCCAAGCTTTTTCTTCTGGGTATATATCCAACTATCCCACAATTACAAAGTAAAGAATCTAGATTTGTAGATATGTGTATATTACAAGCTAAACGTATCATTTCCCTTAATTGGAAAAATGTTGATGGACCAAGAATTGGAAGGTGGATTAAAGAGATGACAATGGAAAAGATAACATACATTATTAGACGGAAGCAACGTGTTTTTGATGGCATCTGGAGACCTTTTATATGTTTTTTAAGATGTGACGCCAATGTTGGTAAGGTGCTACAGCAGGAGGAGGCTCTGAGAGAGTAGGATGTCCATGTGGTGATATAATGTCCTGAGAAACGCCCTCGAAATGCATCAATGTTATAATTGTTTTCAATATTTGTTTATTTAATCAAAGTGAGTGTGTGTATATATATGTTGGTATATGTATGTGTATCTGTGTCCATGTGGGCATGTGCATACTGTATACCATATCCAGGGTTATATTGTTATCAACATTATTTTTAATTTATTTTTATTTTTCTATTTTTATTTTATTTTTATTGTTTTAACACCTTTTTCTTATAATTATTTGGTGAGGGGAGGAGGGGAAGGGAGGGAGAACAGGGAGAAAAGTTTGCTTTGTTGCATGTTATAGTGACATGCTGTTTGATCTGCTGTAATTTGCAAACAAAAAAATACAGGCCTATAATACATATAATATAAATATAATAAATACAGGCCTATAATAAATACAATATATATATAATTTAATAAATACAGGCCTATAATACATAGAATATATATATAATATAATAAATACAGGCCTATTGTTTTTCTGGAGTGTGTGAAATGGCAAAAAACTAAACAAAAATAGGTAATACAAAACGATTATGTGGTCACCTGCTCTTGTTACTTTTTTATATATCTTATTGTATATATTTTGACACTTTTATGTATATTTATGGATGTCCTTGTAGTTCTCTAAGTTCTGATAACTTATACTGTCATATTTTGTGCAGAACTGTGTTCATTGTCTTTTGGCGATGTTGGAGGTGGAGACCTTAAAAAGTGTGTTTCCTGTTCCAAGTGCAATAGTTCAATCCAATTGTTCTGATGAAGGATTTGTGCAATCGATGAATATAATTCTCTGCTTCACTCATGTTGTTATTATAAAACATAACAGTTTGTGCAGAATTTTGTGTTTTATTTTTTATTGCGCGGGGTTTTGAAGGGGGTTTCGCCCAGGGTGTCATTCAAGATAGAACCGCCACTGTGTGTGTAGACGTTGTGCCCTTAAAAGGGGGAATAGTAACAGCAGAAGGATGAGGAAAACACACATGGCTCTTCACTTGTCTGTATTGAATGAGGAAGAGGAGCGTGATTCCCCTTACTGGAGCACTGAGTACCAACAGATCCATTAAACCACACAGATCTGTATTAGCTATCTGCATTCCTCTTCTTGGTATTACTCACTAGTTGCATATTCTCCACATACATTCACAACTTCTATAATAATGTCAAAATACATTGTATTTATGAATAAATTGTTATATACAACTTGTCACATAGACAATTAGTTTACATTATTCAAGGTTGAATGTAAAAACACAGATGGTTCCTTTATGTGCACACACACATTAAACACTGGTGGACACACACTGTCCTTTGAGGAGGAAAGTGTCTCCTCCCTCGTCTCCAGAGGTGCAGCTGGACATTTGATGATATGTATTTGAACCTAACTGCTATTTCTTGTTTGTTCTTTTGTTTTCCTCACAGCAAACTCACAATTGATTTGTTCACATCAACCAATCACAGCCCTGGCTGGTGATGATGTCATTCTACCATGTCACCTTGAACCTCCCATCAGTGTTTCTGATGAGACAGTGGAGTGGACCAGACCTGATTTAGACCCAAAGTACGTCCATGTTCACACAGACGGACGATTTATATATAAAACTCAAAATCCATCCTATAAATTCCGGACAAGAGTGTTTATGGATGGACTGATGACAGGAAACGTCTCCATGAAAATCTCCAAAGTGAAAGTTTCTGATACAGGAAGATACCAATGTGCCCTTCCCTCATTACAGAAGGAAGCTTCCATCCAGCTCATTGTTAGTAAGTCAGACTGGGTTTTATAAAAGCAGAACATTGACTGAGCTCAGTATTTGAATTAAAGGCTCAGGAGGCCTGGAGGTTCAGCTCCTCAGCCTTTAGAGATGAACCTGTACTGATCATCTGTAGGTGAAATTCAATTATTCTATTCCATCCTGTACCCCCATATGTACTTTGAGATGGTCGAATTTAACACATTTAACTTTAAAATGAACATGATAAAAAAGAAAATTAATTTAATGACCTGTTATGGCCACGTAAGTGATGGATAAAAAGACATGTCTGGAAATAAAATAGATTGATATCTAATTCCACCTTTAATGCTTTTCTAACACAATAGTGTTTTAAGTTTTTTAAGCAAACATTGATATGTGTTTACTGGTTCAGACTGAATGGATCAAGCAGTCAATTTATGTAGACAACAGAGCGAGTCGACAGTCGGTGTATAAAATCACATCAGATAATATAATTATTATAATTATCTTTTATAAAAGTTAATGTGTTTCTCCTAAATGACAGAGAAACTGATCTAAAACCTTTACTGGCCAGTGTTATATACATTATATACACCCATACATATATACATGTTAGTGTAATATACACCATGTTATAATGTATAGAACAATGCAGTTAAATGACTGTACTCTGAAACCTACAATATAACCCAATGTATTTCACTATTACTGGCTCAGATAAGCATGTTTATTAGATTGTAATGTGCATGGAATAATGGAATTATACTATACATTAAATATCTAGCATCAGTCTCCCTACTTTCTAAATATCTACATTGACCATTAAAAAAACCTTATCAGTAAACCTCTAATACTGCAATGTAAAGATTCTCACTTAGGATCAGTGTTTAATGATTCTGTAACAGGAAGTGTAAATATGATGTTTGTCTCTGCAGGACAGTCTGATATGATTGGCTCAGACAAACCAGTTACAGTAACAGTCGGTGATAACGTCATCCTGCCATGTTACCTGGAGCCGCCATTGGACATGACGACTGAAACGGTGGAGTGGAAACGTGATGAAGAATTTGTGCATGTCAGTCAACATGAGAAGGACTATCTAGATCTTCAAGATGAGAACTTCAGAGGTAGAACATCTCTCTTCTATGAAGAAATGATCAGAGGAAACATTTCACTAAAACTGACCAACGTAACTGAACTGGATGCTGGGAGTTACACCTGCAATGTTCCCAAACTGCAAAGTCAGGTCAGGAGAGGCTTCATTAACCTCACTGTTGGTGAGTACAGCTAACATATTACACATTCAAATGAAATAAGAGGAAATGTTCTATTTGTCACATGATACAAGTTTTGTATTAATTGTCCAACAGAGCCAGTGGGAGGTCACAGTGGGAATATCAGTAAGTAAATATCTTATGTGTCTCCTCATCAGCTGTCATCTCCTGTTGGTCTGAATGTTATCACATATTTTAATATTTTATTTCATTGTTTCCACAGACACAGAGCCAGGTAAGTGCTGTCTTTACTGCAGTCCACAATGTACACAGATATCACTCCTGTTTCTCTCCTCCTTACAATATGAACCTGAGAATGAGCATAATATGACCTCTTTAACCTCAAAAGTAATCAGAGTAATTCTGTATTTAATGCTTCATTTGACAGGATGCCATTCTAACAAATAATGAACTCATTCATCATCTCAGAGCACACTGATAGAGGACTACTGAAAGGTCCAGTGTGTAACATTCAGGATGATCTATTGTCACCGCCATGTTTCTACAGTAGCCCAGAACACATTTGGAAGTTTTATTCACTTGTTTGCAATCTGTAACTTCACCACTAGATGGCACTGAATCCTCCACAGCGGTCCTTTAAATAACCCTGGATCCTCTATTTCTGGAGAATATTCTCACTGATAATACTGTTTGTTTACTGTTGTGCAATGAAAGAGATTCTAACCAACAGACAGTTTTGGTGGGATGGACTCCAAGTACACATTGAGACCATGAACAGGAGAAGTGGTTGTGGAAATATTGTTGATGGATGTTATCTTGGAACAGTGAAGAACAAATCTCAACATCTTTCCTCTGTTCTTTCAGGTGGTGGCACTGGTTTGAGCCCTGGTGCTATAACTGGCATTGCTATTGGTGTCATTGCTGTCCTTGCCATAGTTGTATTTCTTGTGAGGAAGAATCGTAGAAAGATCAGTAAGTCAATAATCTTCTCTCTCTCCATTTTCTCCATTTAAAAAGACAGTTTACAGTTTTTCAGTCAGTCTTCAAACAACAGTGAACAGTGAAACAGGTTTTTCTTGCTGTAATGATTCCTCCTGTTATACTGGACATTAAAGATCTCTTCCTAAAGTACTTTCAATGGAAGTGATGAGGGGAACAATCTACAGTCCTCCTTACATGGAAACATGTTTTCAGCAGTGTATCTAAAGCTAATATCAGCTAATATGTGTTTATAACTCCATCATTTATTTAGAAATCATTTATTGGGGGGTCTGCACCCTGCCTCTCATGTACAGTGTGTCTGAGCTTTCTCACTATCCTGCTGTCTGATTATGATGGTTGATCTGGGACAAGCTCCTTTACTTGTAGTTCCTCACTGTCAATAACAACAAGTGTCACTTTTCACATCCTATTCTCACTTTTTCTGCTTTATTCTTTGCTGATGATGCTACTCTGCTGCAGTAGACTGTCTTGAATGCTGCCATTTAATCATATATTCCACAGAGCTTTAACCAAGTGGTTTTAATGTGTAAACTTAAACGTGTGTTGATCAGAGCGGTCAAAGAACAGAAAATGCTCATGGGACATTTTGGAAGGCACTGACTAATAACTGGTTTTGTGTCTAACAGCGACGGACTGTGCAAGACCAAACACGACAGGACGCAACGGGCAGAACAGGGAAGGTAGTCAGGAGGACAATGCAGAGGCCATACAGATGACAATGCAAAGGACAATGCAGAGGACAGTGATGGGGACAGTGATGAGGGTAATGGCGAGAATATAGGTATGCTCAACTTAAGAAATGTCAGCTAGTAAGAAAGAAAAGCTTTTGTTCCATCCACATTTCATCAGGTCTTTTATGAGCTGTAATAATAATACTAATATTATTATTATTATCAATAATGATAATGATAATGGTGGTGATAATAATAGTAATACTAGTATTTTTGTTATTGTTGTTATTGTTTTGTGTGGTTTTGTTTTGGTGTTTTTGCGTCACATTATCTTGTTTTACTGCCCTTGAAGAACTCTAGAATCCGTTTACTGTATATAAAATGTGTTTATTATAGAACCTTGTCATTTGGTCCAATATTCACAACCAACATTACAATTTGATTGAATTAGTATTAAGTAATTGTGTGTGTTTTTTGTGTGCAGTTAGCAGTGTTTGAAGAAGCAAATACAGACAAGTACAACCATTTCATCCAGAATGTTGATTCTTGATTAAAATGCAGCTGCAGGGAATTGTTCAGAAGTTCTTCCTGATGTGTTGATTAAATTTGACCAGAGGCGACAATAATAAGCTCTTAAAGACTGTTATTATTTTAAGGTGACTACATATATATTTTTTTATATTTGGGTTTTATATACATATTTATATGTTTATATATTTTTTTATATTTGGGTTTTATATACATATTTATATGTTTATATATATATTTTTTTACGACTGTTCTGCCTTTTGCCTTGTGATGAATCTGTTTTAAAACACATTGTACTACTAGAATTCATTTGATATAAAATGTTTTTAACTTGTACCTGACATTTTGTTCTTATTTGGTCTGATATTTTGGGGAAATGCAGAATCTTTAAGTTTATTGCAGCTGACCAATTAATGTTCTACGACACTGAAATGAAAGAAAAAAAACAAAGTCAGTCTGAGTTTGTTAGAACTTCAACAACAACAAACAACAAATAATGACTTTTATGACAGTTCTATAACTTTTTATAATTCAGATTCAAATAAGAAAAATCAGATAATAACAGCACTCTGCTGTAAATGTAAGCCTGATTATTTATAGCAGTGTTTGTCTCTATTTATAGCTCATTTCATTGTTTTACAGTGTAAAACTCTTCAATTAAAACATTAAATCTGTTTCTGTATCTCTGGCCCAAGCACAATCCAAACTGTACACAAGCCTGAGGGCTGGCAGTGGCCAGGGATCGAACCGACAACCTTCTGATCAGTGGACGTCTGGGGCTCAGCGACACAGATGTTACAGTGAGGATGTCAGAACTTTATCTTATGTAGTTGGATAAACTATGGATTTGATTTCTTTCAACACAAAGTGCCAACAGAACTGGACACACTCAGTTTTAACTGTCAGATGTGACTCAACGACATTTTCTTTTATTTTATATTTTTATGTATTTTTTAGCACATTTACTTTCACTTTCTGTCACTAACCCTGTTCCCCAGTACTTTTATTTGTATTGTACTGCAGTGCTTACTTCATTCGTTCCCGCTGTTAAATATTACCAGATAAAATTATTTGACTTTTCTTACCATGATAGTTTGTGCACTGATAACAGGAAACAGATAGATGCTCCGGTGAAGAGCCCGTTTGCCGGGTGAAGGAAGGAGGTTGTGGGTTTATATTGTAATGGTCTGTGAGAGCCAAAGCCCCCCTCTGTGCTCAGCCTGATATATGAGGTGAGCTGGCTGTCTGTAGTCTTCCTTTAATGTCACTGACTAACATATTTTATGGATATTAACTGAACATCAGAGTTTTCTGTATTGTTTATTTGTTTATTTTAGTTTTCAACAATCACACATGCTATCTAAGCAAAGAATTTCATTTCATTTTACTTTCACACACTGTTGTCTTTAAGTTGCACATGTACAGTTATATTCTTAGTTTCTTTAGTTTTTTAGTCAAAGCTACTTTAAATATGTTGCACATTGCATATAGTGCAGTATATGTTTCATTTATAGTTTTATATTTTGTAATATTGTTATTGTGTGATATCTTATTGGACTTGTACACTGTGGACTACATCCCTCTGTGCTGCTGTGTGTATTTTGAATTTTCTTCACAGAATTAGACGAAATGCTGAGATGTCGGTCTACTGTGTATATTTTTTATTTTTTATTATTTATAGTTTGTGGCTTTGAAACAATTCATTCATTTATGCTTCTAATAGTATGTTGCTCCAGGACACTAAGACATGCAGCGGGAGGAGCCGGGGATCGAATCCGCAACCTCTCGCTCTTCCTCTGAGAGACCGCCGCAAAGACAGCCGATCTCCGGGAGGGGCCAGGACAGGTGGAGAGGGGGCGATGTTGTAAAACTAGGAAATGAACCTTCTCTTCCACGCCCCCTCTGTATCCGGAGTATTTTCGGGAAATGGGTGGGCAGGTCTCACAATCTGCTCCAGGATCAGCTCTTTGTTCAGACGCTGCCATGCATGATGTCTCCTCATTGGAAACTAGTGACTGCAGACGCTCACAATGAAACTTTATGAAAAGTAAAGTTTTTATAAATCTTCTATAAAAGATTAACGACACACTGACACATCGATGCAGTGATGAAGAGGAGCGCTGGACCGATGCTGATCATTCTTTCTCTACTAACGGACGCAGCCTCAGGTAGGCTTTATAGACTGTTACTAACTGTATTATATATAAACCTACAGTAATATATTCTTTATATTCTTTACTATATCCGTTAGTTTATTAACGAGCTGCTGTGACCTGGTCAGTAAACAGCAAACAAACAAACAGTAAACATTGAGGAAGGGCGCTGGTCAACAGTCAGTCATTTCTCATCATCACAGTCATTATCAGTTAAAGAGACACTGACTCTTCTTTTTATACTTTACCAACAAACTGCACTGCGCAATCTGACGGTAAACACTTCAGTATGTTCATTATATACTGTATGTATATAGGAACGGCAGAAGGATGAAGAAACTAGATGAAACATTTGGTATAAACTAGTGGTGGGACTCGATTAAAAAAATAATCTAATTAATTAGAGGCTTTGTAATTAATTCATCTCAATTAGTCGCATATCAATATTTGATACAAGAAGCACAATTTTTCATTTAAATCAATGAATAGACACATAAATGAGATTAAACAACAAATGTGTGTTTATTTTCATCAGTGAGTGTTAACATAAAGTGCAATCTGAATAAAGAATAATATGATTGCATTGTTCACAAAGCACAAACTTTTATATTTTACTCTTTTTTTTTTTTTTTTTTTTTACAACATTTGTTGTATTAAGTCAGTTTTATCCCCATCAGCTTCCACAAAGTGAAACTTACCTCCTCATGAAGCAGGTGGTGCTGGACAGGCTCTGGTTGTGTGTCTGTTGTCTCCACTAGTGTTTAATGTCTGACCTGCTCCCTTACTGACAAACAGGTCAGTTATTTTACAGCACTGAGCTGATCTGTGGCTCTCTCTCTCTCTGCTCCACCTTTCCTCTTGGGCTGTCGATCTCGCTCCATTTTTCAAGCCTGTAGAACTACAGGTGAGGGAGGAGGGGGGCGGGGGGCGCACCCTTGTGTGTGTGTGCAAAAATAAATTGCGATTAAATGCGTTACTTTTTTTGTCGTGTTGTTTTTTCTGTAATTAATTAATCGTAATTAACGTGATAAAGTCCCATGGTATAAAACTAAAATCAAATAAAAAGGCGTTGGTGCTTATGTTTATTGAGACTGCCTGAATGAGTCAATTGCAACTGTGTGACAGTGAGTCCTAAGACCTAATCTGAACTTCTTAAATCTAATAATAATAATGAGAGGAACCAGTACTGGGACAAAGCAGAAGTTCACATCAGCGTACACAAAATGTATTGCAACAGCAGCAACGTCTCTGTGCAACAGTTCAGATCATATATGGATGTACTGACTCTCCTCACAGACACACATCATTTAAAACAAGATTATAAAGATCTGCTCTCTCAGTCAAGGTTCAGCTGCAGCTCTGTGATCTCTCAGTAAACTAATCACCAGGCAGCAGAGACAGTTTATAGTTTGTATTAAATCTACAATGTTAATGTTAATATTCACTTAATATTAATCTCTACCACTCTCTCCTCTGAGCATGGGCATCTCGTGGGGGCTGCAGGATTATA